GAATTTAATACACACGCACCACATTTATTAAAGCATTAGAATAATTGAAATTTGCTGCTGCAGCCGTCCAATCTGTTTAAATAATTCTATGGGTGTCTTGTTGTGATAAAAGATTATCTAGAATTCTATTAAAGGCGCAGGAGCCTGCTTTGTAAATCCTATTTGGGGACTTTCAATAACTATCGATAATCTCATCTGCACAGAACCCCCGCCTCTCCGCGTTATCGGAAAGTTTGCAGCGTTCCCCGAACAGCGCCGGGAAGGCCAGACCGGCCGTGGACCCGGCACCTGCCGCTCCGCCCGGGATTAGGGCGCACCTGGGGTGCGGGGGGCGGGGGGCGGGGGGGGGGGCCCGGGCCCGGGCCCGGGCAGCCGCTGCTTAAGCCCGCCGGCTCTGGCGGACGCGCGGGGGGGAGTGACCCCGAGGGCCGCGCTACGCAGGGCCGGCGGGAGGCCTTTGTTCGCTGCCCCGGAGCCCCGGGGCTCCACACCACGCGCAGGGCCGCGGGGAGCGGGGAGCGAGCGCGGGCGCGCGGGCGCCGCCGCTAATTGCTGCTAATTTTGTTTCATTAACTTTATTTACTCTTGAACCCCTTAATTGTTTTCCATTTATTTTTAGTAATTTTAGAATGCACTAATAATCCCCCTCTGTCTGAGGACGCCTCTAACCCCCCCCCCCCCCCCCCCCCCCTCCCTGGCGGGGTCGCGCGCCCCCACCCCCGCCCCCCCCCCCCCAACTCCCTCCCTTCGGCCTCCCAGGCTTCTCCGCCGCGGACCCGGCTCGGCTTGGCGTTGGTAGCGGGCAAAGAGGATCCGACGGGTGAGCAGGAGTCTCCTGGAGGCCTGTGGACTCCCGCGGGTCCTTCTGCCGGTTTTGCGGGGAGGGTGGAGGGCCACGACAAAGGCCAGTCCCCAGGCCAGAGAGACTCTGATTTGAGCTGCTACTGCCGTAGGAGGGAGCGCCGAGGCCCTGAGAAGGGCAGGGACTTGGCTAAGGTCACGAGGCGTCCCAGAGGCCTCTCTGGGCCGGGGTGGGGTTGGCCGGGCCAGGTCCTCGCCGCCCCCTCGCTTCTCTGGCTCCTCTTGTGGCCTGCGAGGGTCTGCAGCGCGGCCTGAGCTCGGGGCTGGGCCGGGTGGGGACTCGGTTCACTGCTGCGCAGCCCCTTCGCTGGGGAACCGACGTCCCCGCGGCCCCCCGCCCCCGGCCCCCAGGACCCAGCCCGCGCCTTGCCGGTTATTAGACAGCTCGCGGGACTGTCTGCGGGCCGCCTCTTTCCTGCTAATTATCACCTTATGAAAAGTGTTTCATTAAGGAACTCTGCTTTTGATTAATTATCGACAGAATGCTGACCAGAAAGAAATGAAATTAATCTCTGACCCCGTCTGGGTAACACTGGAAATTCATCACATATCCTTTTAATATTGAAACACAGCGCAGAATTTTAATAGAAAATATTGTTTTTCCAAACCTCCAGTCTTTATTAATGCCCCTGGGCAGGGAATGATATTGCTGGCAATATAGCAGTCTTTGTTCATTTTAAATTTATTAAACATAATGCACTTCATTTTCAAACATTTTACTGTTTCTTTTTAATTTCACTCAGTGTAAGTACAGAATAAAACCTTTTTAAACATTTAAGATATTGAAAACCCATATATGAGTGTATAACGGGAGCGCTCCGGCCATCAAATAAATTTAAGTAGAAGCAATTGTAATTTTAAGCTCCCAAGTATTATCCCCTTCAGACATTAAGGCAGTATCCGTAACCAGCAAATGGAAGTGTGAGAAGGAGAGGCTTCAAGCCTCCCCCCCCCCCCCCACACACACCCGCCGGAAGACCTCACCAGAGGGACTGGCCTAGCACAGCAGCCCCAGCAGACCCTCCAGGCCTAACTAACGGGTTGGCGGGGTGGGCACTTTCCCCTGCATTTCGTTGGTCCAAGCGCAATGATTCCTGGAGGCCTGAGTGCTTGCCTGAGAGGGGGCCCCCATCTACCCACTGTCCACTCCACCGAGGGCCCACCCTTCCTCCTGAAGGGACAGGGAGCTTCCCTGAACTGGGAGGTGATTGCTCCCTCTGAGAGTCACGCTGGGCCGCCCCCAACCCCAGTCAAGGCCTGCCCTGATCCCGAGCCCTGGGGTGGGGGCTCCCCTGAGATCACATCCCGCCCCTCCTTCCGGGCCACAGCTGCCAGAGGAGCTGTGCAGGGAGCACCCTTCCTTACCCCCACCCCCCAGCATAACTCCTGTACCTTCATCCCCTTTCCCGAGGAATCCAAGCTCCGAGTTTAATGAGTCGTGAAGTGTGAGAACTTCCTGAGACCCCAGCGCCCCTGATGCCAATTCCAGATGTGCGAGGTGGGAGGGGCTGAGCCTCCTGGCCAGTGAGCCACCCCTGGTCGGACTGGAGCACCCTGGATCCAGGTCCCAGCCATCCGGGCTCTGAATTGGAAACAGGCACCTTCTCCACTGAGAAATTACTCTTTTTATTTCTTGTAGCGTTCCTGGTGCCCTATTTCACGGCACCGACAAACGGAATATTACTTCTAAAACACTATGAAATACCAGGTCCTGTCCTCAGTGCTGTTTCGGGGGAATTAAACGTTCACTGATCGGTGAGAAGCTCCAGCGTTTCTTTTGGGGGCCGATCAGTGGGAGGAAGAGGAAGATTCTCAGGGATTGTCTTGGCGCCCCAGAGGGCCTCGTTGGTGTCGGGGTTCGCCCGCTCATACCCGGCAAGCGTGTCTTAGATGGGGTCAGACACTTTGTACTAGCCTGCTCCTGCATTCTTTATTACTTGCAGGGCTCTGAGCCTGGCCTAGGCTGTCTGTGATCTGTGACTTACCTGCCGGACGTCTCTGCTGATCCCCCACGTGTCCCCCCACCACTCCTGTTTGGTATCCTGATGTCATGGAGAAGTTCCTCTGGCCCGCTAGAAAAAAGTTCCTCCCCCGTGTTAGTAAGTGTTCCCAAGTCTTGGCCAGACCTCACAGCAGACAACTTTGTTCCCCGGTGTTTGTGGTCAAGGCTGGGAGAGGCGCCGGAAAAGAGGGCTTTTCTGGCAAAATTTCAGCCCTCAGTTTGAGTGGAGATGGCTGCCTCCTCTTGCTTCCAACCAGTGCAGCCGACCAGAACAGGCAGCTGGGGGCCAGGAGAGGGCCTTCTAGCTGCTTGGGCCTGGCCCCACCCTAGGCGGCCCCACCAGCACATCCACCCCATAGCGGCGGCGGGAGGCTGGAGCTGCCTTCCCAGGGGCGAGGAGCTACCAGCAGTGAGGGCTGAGGGCCCAAAGTGAGTCCAGAGGGAAGTCTGTCAGGGTGTGCGTGGAGAGAGGTGAGGCCTCCCCCCACCGCATAAGTAAGAAAGAAGCTAAGGGGGCGTAAGACAGGCAAATAACATCAGCGCCCACACTCCCATCACGTCCTCTCTTCTAAGACCTTTGCCCAAGGCCACTCTCCCAGTCCCTCAGAGAAGAAGGCAGGAGTGAGGACGGATGGGCCAGCCTGGCTGTTCTGTCACTGGACCTCACCAGGGTAGGGCTGAAGAGGGTCCAGAAAAGAAAGCTAGCTTAGTGGCCTGTGAATTTCATCTCCCCCCCCCCCCCCCATCTACTTAAACTGAAAACAAACAAGTGAAACAAAACACAGAGGCACCAGGGCCACGGCCCATGTGCCCCACAAACTGGGGGACCTGCCTGGCCTCTGCAGGCACCGGGTTCAACCATGGAGGAGGGTTCCCCGGGACGGCCCACCCCTGGCATGTTTGTGGACTCGGGATCCACAACTGCCCTGCTTCTGGACCAGGAAAGCCCCTCCCCAGGGTCCCCACCCAGAGTCCTGGGCCCCGCTGTGCAAAACCCAGTCTCCTGAGTTTCCTATAAACAACTTGCTCACTGGGGTTAAGACTCTCTCTCTCTCTCTCTTTCTCTCTCTCTCTCTCTCAAAAAAAAAAAAAGATAAAGCGATTTAAAGATAATTAATTGTATTAAACTATTGACTAACTACCTCGCTCAATAGTAATTCATTTAGAGAATATTAAAATTGGAGGAACAATAATAAAATTGATGCCAATTCCCACGGGGAGGGAGATGGCCAGCAAATTGGATACTTTCCTTAATCTGGCGTAAATAATAACAGTCTGCTCTGCTTCTCTCTCAGGCCGATTCCCCTATCATTTATTCCAGACTCTAAAGCCCGGCTTCATAATTGATATCAGTTACTCAATGAGTGCTTTTTCATTTGTTCTTGTTATCCGTGATAATTGCGAAGTTCAGCCTCTCTCAGAGTTGAGATTCGGCGGCTCTACCGTGGAGGCCTGCCCGGTTCCTCCGGCGCCGTGCCGGGGCAAGGTTGGGAGGTGGGGGGCTCTGGCTGCCTCCTCCCCGGCTGGGTTTTACTCCTTGCGGCCGCCAGCGGCACACTAGCCCGATCCTGGGGCCGAGCCGCAGGGACCCGACCGTGGGCGCAGAAAGTGCGCGGGGCCTTCGCTGGGGCCGTGACCGTCCATCCAGAGCCCCGCCATCCCCGACAGGGCACGTTTGGTGGCAAACCCAGGGTCCAGAGCTGCTCCAACAATCCGTTTTTGTTTGAAAACCGGTGGGTGAAAGCGATGAATCCCAAACGACATCTGGGGACAAAATGCCACAGAGCCTGGAGGAAATTTTGGGAGATAGGGAAAGGGAGGGACACTTGACAGGGGGGCAGCTGGGCCAGGGGTCGGGCGCGGCGGGCCGGAAGGACACGTCCCGGCTGCCTGCTGCCCGCGCGCTGCCTCCCACGCCGCCCCGGGCGCAGGATGGTCGCAGACTGGCCGGCCGGAGCCCTGGCAGCTAGTCGGGTCCTCGAGATGACTATTTCGTTACTTATTCACTTATTTATTCATTTATAAAGTGTTTACTTAGCTCGGTGCAGATGTAACATCTCATTTACAGCGTGGCCTCGGGGCATAGAAACAATTGGCAACAAAGGCGTAACTCCGGAGAATTAGACGCGCGCGCGCACGCACACACAGACACACACACACACAGACACACACACACACACACACACACACACACACACACACACACACCCAGAGCTGGGGGGGGGGGAGGGAGGGCGGACAGCGCGCGACCGAGCCAGGAGAGGGACGGAACCGGGAGGGCAGTGGGACCCCTGGCAGCGACCCCGCAGGAATTGGGTGGGGGACGCGCGGGTGCGCACCTTAGGGGGCTCGGGCCGCCGTCCCTGGGGCGCCCTTGGAACGGGTCCGGGCCCGCCCGGGACCCCGAGGCGGCGGTGGCCAGGGCGGCCCCACGGAGGGCGCGCACCCCTGCTTCGCGGGCCCGGGAGGGGCGGCTCAGGCCGGGCCCCTCCCGCCCGGCTCCCGGGAGGGAGCCCCGTTCCCGTCCCCCGCGGAGGGCGCGCAGGCCTCGCAGAGGACCGCCCCCTCCCCTGCCCGCGTCGCGGCCGCCTGAGCCCCTGCAGCAGGTCCTCCCGGGCCGCGTGACCACAGCCGCGCAGCGGGGAAACTGAGGCCCCGCGGCGCCGTGGTGGGCGGAGGCCGCGAGGGGCCTGGGCGCCCGGGAAGGTGCCCGGGGCTGGGACACGAGGGGCAGAGGGGGCAGTGGGGGCGCATGGGCCGGACCCCGGGCCCTCCCCTCCCCTGCACCGCGTCCGGGGTTTCCGCAGTGGGTGTCAGGCGGCCGCGCACAGAAAGGGCTGCAGGGGGTCCCCGCCCCCCGCGGGCGCCGGGGCGCGGACGGGAGGCAGCTGGGACTGTTTAACTGGGAGCCGGTTGCTTGGCAACCCGCGGCGGCTCATTACCGCGGCCACAGTGATTAACCAAAAAAGAAAAAAAAAAAAAAAAAAGAAGAAGAAAGGGAAAGAGGAAAAGAAAAAAAGTAAGGAAGGAAAAACAGGGGGAAAGCGGGAAGATGAAAGTAAAGCGGATGATTTAATTAGCTAATTGATAATCAACTCCTTAATTATTCACTGAATGTAGAAAGTGTGGCCACAACTCTGCCCTCGTCAAGCGTGTTGATGCCCTGGCGGGATTCCTGGAGGTGCCCTCCTCCCCCTCCCCTGCAGCTCCAGCGCTCCGTCCCCCGGGAGAGGGCGACTGAGAGTGTTAGAATATTCTGTGACAGCCGTCCGCATCCCGTCCGCCAGCCAGCGGTCCGGTCCGATCCGATCCGCGGGCTCTTCCAGGGGCGCCGGGCGGGGGGGGGGGGGAAGGGGGGCAGGGGGCGGGGGCGGGATGCGCTTCCTTCCCACCCCTTCTTTTTGCCTCACCCACTGCCTCGACTTGTGTGCGCTCAGGCCGCGGTCGAGGTGCGGGGCTGTGGGGACAGGCTGGCCCTGGCCTTCTCGAGCCTGGTGACTCGCGCCGGGGCAGGCGGTACGCGGGCACCTGCGGGCCGGCGCTGGGTCCAGCCGGTCGGGGACTTGGCTGGCAGCCTGGCTAGCACGTGCCAAAGAGCCTGTGGGCTAAGTGCTCCCGCTGTCAGGTTTGAGGACAGGAAGGTGAGGCCTACTCACACAGCAATTTTAGGCACAGCCAAGAGTTCAGGGAGAGCGAGCCAAGGGAGGTGGCCAGGAGGTGTAGTCCCAGGCAGG